CACTCAAGGGTTCCAGCACCGATCACGGCCGCTGCTGGACCATCCGCTACTGACTTGGGGAGAACATTGGCAATGTACTGGCAGCCAAGAGTCTCTCTCGTGTCGCCGAAGTTGGCTGTTGCAGACCCCTTTTCTTGCTCCTCTGCCAGGTCATAAAGGGCAAACTTCTCATCGTGAGACAGCGCGAACAGCTCGCTCTGGTTCAGGAAACCCGAGTGGTGGATCGATGCGTCGTGGTTGAAGGTCTGTATGACCACCTCGTCCTCGTCCGTAATTTTCAAATCATAGACATTTACGAGGCCGTCCGTCGAGCCCGAGAGAAGCAGGTTGGTGTCGGTCGGATGAAAATTCAACTGGATCACACTCCCGGTCATGTTTAGTCACTTCCAGGGCGGCCATGAAGTCTACCGAGGTCCCGGGGCTTTGTGTCCTGGCTCTGCTTGCTTTTTCTGGACCATATTGATGCTGTGCCTTACTCACCTCGGTTATATCGTCACTGTGCACCTCGTTGTACTGGATCACCGGTTCTGATGCACGACGAACGTCCCTGTTCCGTCAGCTGGGAGAGGGGTAAATGGTGGACACACTGCGATTTGTGACATCAACCTACCAGAATACCAGTGATGCCTGATTATCGACGTGCTCTGTTCCGGCGCACACTACGTTTACTCCCGGGGCGCAGGCCAGTGATGCGATGCTTGCATGGACGGAGCCTTCGAGCTAAGATCAGCAACCGAGCCCATCAAAATCTAGTCGGCAGCACACGTACCTATCTGTCTGGTGGCTTGGGCGGGGTTGACACCAGCTGCCCTCAGGTCCCATATGGCTACGGACCCATCAGACCCAGCTGTGCAGACGGCCGACTGAGAAAGGTCAAAAGGTCGGGCAACAGTTAGGTTGCCGTGTGAGGTCTTGAAGGAGCGAACAGGGCCCTTGCTCAGGGAAGACAGGTCGAACAGGCTCAGGCTTTGGTCGGAAGAAATTGCCGTCAGACCAGATAGTATTGTGTGCAAGTCGAGGACGTAGACTGGCTCTCCAGCCGAGGCCGGGAATTGGAATACGTCTAGGTTGGAGAGCAGATACATTGTCGCGTAGAAACGGGAACAATGCCACTTTGGATACGCGGTGGTGTCAACAATCTGGCTTTCGGTGCTCCTATTTTCCTGTTACTTTCATAACCAGAGGATTTTCCCATTCAGACACGTCCCGGCTGTGGTTCGTTCTTTTCTTTTGCCCGTCCGTGGCGAGTGGAAATGCCCCTCACAGGCACACGTACCTGCCGCAACCATGCCTTGCTAGACCCACACCCAGGGGTCGATTGCCGAGCCCATGCATGTGGGCTGTCTCGTCATTCTCGAGTTCTGGACAGCTTGTTAGATAGCGCGCCGCGGTCATTGCTTGCCGTCATTGCACTTCTCCACGACGCCGTATCATCCTGCCCGCCGCAGTCCCCGATTGATCCGCTCTGCCATGGCGAGTGCGACGACTGCGATGCCCCTGGACACAACATATTGTCTGCGCGTCTAGGATCCTTCTCTCCTGCTCGTAATTCTAGCTCCTTACCCGGTTCGACTGCTTGGCCATGGGCCGCGCCGTTGTATGGCTGTTGCGTACGTAACATAACAAGCACATAGGCGACGCCATACGCACCCCGTCCACATCCCAGATAAGGTCTCCCCGCTCTAACTGCTGCCTACTGTAGTGTTCTCCCAGGGCATAGCATGGGCTTCCGGTGCCACCGCCGCCCAGGCCCGCGCCCATGATGACGGCGCCCCACAGACCGAGGTGTTGGCCGGCGTCGCTCCCGGCGGCGGTGCCCCGGGCTCGGACCCGCTCGGCTCGAGGGAACCTGGTGAGCAAACCCCTCCCTATTGTCTAGGTCGCGCGCAAAACCCTCTAACCGGCCTCTCTGCAAGGCGCCGATCTCGTCGATGCTGCTCTCAAGGAGCTCCACCAGCTGCAGCTCCCCGCACACCGCCGACGGCGCAAACGCCCCGGCATGGTCGCCGCCGCCGCACAGCAGCTCCTAAAAGTGCTACCGAGCTTCCACCTCACCGGCCCACCGTCAGGCCACCCTAGGCAGCCGAACGGCCCGCTGTCGGATGCTGTTCGCCTCCTCGAGGGGGCTGCCCAGAAGAACAACTCGGACGCGCTCTATCTGCTCGCCGAGATGAAATTCTATGGCAACTTCTCTCTCCCAAGGGACTTCTCTGCTGCCTACAGCAACTACCAGATCCTGGCCGCACTCAACGGCAACAGCTCGGCCATGTACATGCTCGGCCTGATGCACTCGACAGGCGTTGGCGGCGTTGCCGAGCGTGACCAGGCCAAGGCCCTGCTCTACTACACCTTTGCAGCCCTCCGCGGTCACACGCGCGCGCAGATGACGGTTGCCGTGAGGCACGCGGCCGGCATCGGGACCGCCAAGAAGTGTGAGGAGGCGTGCAAGTACTACAAGCTGGTCGCCGACAAGGCCATCGAGTGGTACAGGTCCGGTCCGCCCGGTGGTATGGGCTGGGCTTCCGAGTCGCACCGCATCGCCGACGGGTTCGGCGGCGTCTATGGCGAGGGTGCAAGTGTCTCCAGCTCGGGCATTAATGCCGCCCACACCCACGCCAGCTTCGACCGATATGCATCCATCGCCGACGTCATTGAATACCTAGACGTCCTGGTTCACAAGGGCGACTTTCGGGCGTCCTTCAATCTGGGGCGCATATACTACGACGGTCAGCGCGGGCTGGACCGGGACTTCAAGGCAGCCCGCAAGTACTTCCTCAAGGTCGTCGCCAAGTTCTGGAAGGACGGCCGCGCTGTCGAGAACGCCGCGCCCCAGCTCGATAGGGTCGCGGGCAAGGCGGCCGGCTACCTGGGGAGAATGTATATGAGGGGCGAAGGAGTCGATCAGAATATGGAGCGGGCCCGCGACTGGTACAACCGTGGCATTGCTCAGGGAGACGCCCAGTCGCAGTACGGCCTAGGCCTGCTGCTGATGGGTGGCCACGGCGTCTCGCGGAACATGGGTAGGGCCACGGAGCTGTTCAAGGCGGCCGCTGCCCAGGACTACGCCCCGGCAAACGTCAAGCTGGGGTCTCTCTATCTGGACCAGGGCGGACCTGAAGACCTGCGCGCAGCCAACGACTGCTTCGAACAGGCGGCCAAGTACGGAAACATCGAGGCGCACTACTACTTGGCCGAGATGATCTCGCACGGCGTGGGTAGGGATAGGAGCTGCAGTCACGCCCTCTCGTACTATCGCAGTGTGGCCGAGAAGGCCGAGCCTCTGGTTTCTTCATGGGCCGAGGCTAATCAGGCCCACGACGACGGGGAGCTCGAGACTGCGTTCCTGCAGTACCTAGGTGTCGCCGAGCAGGGATACGAGCGGGCGCAGAGCAACGTGGCCTACCTGCTTGATGAGCAGACCTCCCGTCTGCCACTCCCGATCTGGTTGACCAGGCGGACGCCACGACCGAGCCTTCTCAGGAACCCGTCGCTCGGACTGATCTACTGGACGAGGTCATCCCGGCAGGGCAATATCGACTCCCTAGTAAAAATGGGCGACTACTACCTGGATGGTGTTGGGGCCGAAGCAGACGTTGACAAGGCCGTCCAGTGCTACACTGGTGCGGCGGATTACCACCAGAGCGCCCAGGCGCTGTACAATCTGGGCTGGATGCACGAATACGGGGTCGGGCTTGACCAGGACTATCACCTTGCCAAGCGGTACTACGACGAAGCACTCATGACGAATGATGAAGCATACTTGCCCGTCACGCTTGCTCTCCTCAAGCTCCGTGTGAAAAGCGCGTGGAATACGCTGACGAACGGCCGAATCAATTCGATCCAAGACGATCCTGGTAAGCAGAAAACAAATGGGCTGTGATATTCAGCATACGCTGGAGGCGGCGGCGCGACTCTTTATCTGGACATCGGCTCACATACCTCTCTCCCTTTTGCGCTAAAGCTCCAGCCAAGGATTGGTCACTGGGCGAATGGATAGCAAACTTCCTCCAAGAGGACCGATTCATTTACGACGAAGGGCAGCTGGACGACAACTACGACCAAACGATGCCGGGAGCCGACTCTCCGCTGCCTGAGGAGCTAGAAGAGGGACTGGCCGAGACGCTCATCATTCTTGGGCTTGCGGCAGCACTAGCATTCCTAGTGTACTACAGGCAACAGCGGCAGCAGGCACACCGCGAGGAGAATGCTATGCGGGCGCAAGCGGGGGCTCCGGGCCAGGCTGGCGGTCCAGCAGCGCCCGGGGACAGGGGCGCATTCCCGCCGGTTGACCAACCAGAGTTTCAACAGTGGGTTGCCGGCGGGATTGGGCATTAGCGTTGAGCAGTAAGGAGTATGTATATATGACGGAATACGAAAGCTAAAAGCATGGCGTGCAGTTAGATATCTGATCAGGAGGTCATTAGGAGCCTGGTGGTGATCCAAAGTGCGAACCAAGTCCAACAATTGCTACATCCTGCGCATGCAGTACACTAGAAGCATACTGTCTGTACGTACCACGTACATACAGCATGAGCTTAGTCCGCCCTTCCTTTCTGCCCGAGTACAGCACACAAACAAGCTGCACAGACAGCCCCATCGGATCATGCGTGCAGGCTCAATAAAGTGCTCCGCCTGTCCCATTCAAGCTTGGCCCAGACAGCGATGACGGATTGTGACGACCGAAGGGCCGCAAAACAGTTCCCCACCCAACAGATCCGCAAGGACGCCCATCGAGGTCGAAAGTTGGCGGGAAAGGCCGAGTCACAGCACAACCTGGCTGTGCCATGAATCCACGTGCGCTGTAAACTCAGGCCAGCGATTGGAAAGCGGCAGCCGTTCAGGCATGATACCACGTGCTGGGAGGCCTCGGGCCACTGAGGTAAGCTCGACGTTTTTTTCATGAAGCTTTCCGAGAGCGATGCTTATTCTTTGCGCCGCATTGCCCGATGCAGGGAACCCCACCGGGAGCCCCCAGTATAGCATCGGATGAAACGCCTGCTACACACACAACAGGCACTGTTGAAACATGGCCGCGCCCCCCAACAGCAGACCCCGTCCGTCTCGACGCGGTAGTGCGATTGGACGCAGGGCTTCACACACGGAGGCGGTCCTAAAGCGGGCGTACGTAATGCCTCCATTGTGACGGTGATGCCGACCCGTGGTCGCAGATTATTGTTGGAGGCTCCCCTGATCCCGAACGTGACGGTTTGGCGAGGCAGGGGAAAAAAGAAGGAGAGGAAAGACTGGAACTCGGGCCGCCCTTTGAACACCTTCACCTTCCATCCCCGGTTCCTCAATGCTCTTCATTTAGGAAACAGCATCCCTCCACCGGCTGGGGAGACGTCGAGTCAAAACGCCACCGTCTGCTTTGCTATTTCCGGCTCCCATCCTGCCCAACCTTGCCCCCAACAGCGACCAAGATCTCTTGGCATCCATATCTGTAGTATCCCCTACCCGTTTTTACATCCAGCCACCCAACCCTATTCGAGGCTGCTCGGCTACTGTGATCCAGGGAACACACAGCGCCTGTGGACGAAGAAGAAGAAGAAGAAGAAGAAGAAGATAAACAATACCGGCTGGCATCCCTCACGCAATCTCGTCGCCGCCACACGAAGCTCGACAAGCTATACAACCAAATAATCGAGCAAGGGCCTGTTGACGACCCGGATCAGACCGCGAACGTCGGAAAGCCTCTTCATACCAACCCTACCTACTTACACTCGGCGCAATGTCGGACGCAACCCCGACTTTCTCGGGGCCACGCCCGGTTTTTACAGGCCCCCCGCCACCGGGCTGGGTGGAAGAGGATGGGAGGATTATACCTTTTTGGTGGAGTCGCGTGAGTGCCCGCACTGCTTTCCTGCTTCCTCTCCGCCGTCGCGGTTTCTTGAGCTGTGTCTCTGGTGCTGACGTGAACCCACAACGCCGGCGCAGACGGGCTACATCATCAAGTGGTCGCTCCTCCTCGGCATCTTCATCGCCTTCTCCCTGTACATCGTAATAGGGTACTGGCACGCAAAGAAGCGCCTGAGCAAAGGGCAGATTCCGCTAGCCTACCACAGATGGCTCGTCAGCAGGTCACAGCTTGCCCGGGTCGACCCCAGATACGCCTACCCACAGCCGGCGGGCTACACCACGTACCGACCCGACTACTACGGCATGAATGCGATGCCGCCACCGCCCGTGTACGACCCTTCGCGTCCGCCCGTATACGACGGCCCGCCGGGCGGCACCAAGGTCGACCCGGCCCAGACAAGCCAACAGCCCCAGGCACAGCCGCCGCCGCCGCCACCACAGGAGACTGGTATCGCAGGCCCCCAAGTGCCGCCCCCGACAGTGATGGCCAACCATACCGGCTCGAGCAACAACCCGTTCCGCCGTTGAAGAGCCTGAAATAACCCTGGAGTTCTGGATCGATGGATTATGCGAGGGTTTGGGTCGGGAGCGTCTGAAACCGCGACGGCGCTCCATGGGAGAACTGGAACGGCGTAAAAGGGGCGGGCTCGCAGCTTGGTTAGATGGGGGCGTCGAACGCTCACCACCTCGTGCCTAATTGGTATTATTACTACTGCAGGGGGTTTCGTCACGGGTATACGATACGGGGGGGCCCAAAGTAGCCAATAAGATTATTTATTTCGTTGCCTGAAACAAATGACACGCTCATGTTTGGGTATCTTTCGAGGATCATGAAGAAGAAGGAGAGGCCCGAGACCGGAGACGCAAAGGCGAAACGAGGGAAGGAGGGATGGCGGCGGGGGCACTCAATCAATGTCCATTGCGTCGCAATCATCCCCGCTGAGATATAACGGCGTAGCAGGGACCCTCTCCCCAACGGACAACATCGGAGGGGGGATAGCCAACGGCTGGCTCGTTGGAGCCGATAAGGGCTCGTTCTGGAGGTGGGCGCGGGCGCGGGCCCGTGTGCGGGCATCGATGATAGCCTTGCGCACGCTGTCGTGCTCCTGGGGTACCGAGAGCGAGGATGGGACCGAGTACAGCACGAGCTCCTTTCCGGCCAGCTCTCCGTGGGGATTTGGGGGGACGGCAGGAGGAATCATGCTCACGCGGCTTTTGCGCAGGTGCTTTTCGATGTCGGGCAAGAAGACCAGCCTGGCTTCGTCGGGCTCGCTGTCGGATGAGAGCTCGTCGTCAATGTTGTAGATGTAAACCTTGTACTTGGAGCCGTCCAGCTGCATCATGGCGTCCTGGGCCGCGGGGGCGACAGGGTGCCGAGAGTCTGCTGCGACCACGGGGTCCGAGATCGGCGATGTGGAGGGTGTGGGTGTGGGCGAGGGTGCGGATGCTAGTGTTGGTGTTCGTGCGGCGAGGCGGCGTAGTGGCGACGCCGGGAGCCGCACAGCCGGGTTCTCAACTGGGACATACAGCTTCTGGCCGTTCTTCTCTATGCGAGCCAGGAGCGAGGGGTTAGTAACAGCTGCGCAAGCCGTTTAGGGGTCCTGGTCACGGTGGCCCGTACCTATATTAAGAAGGCTGAGCCTCTTGGACAGGCGCTCATTGTGTGCCTCTTGCGTTTCGGCCTTTCTTTTGTGCCCAGCGAAGAGTGCAGGCGCAGGCGCAGGCGCGATATCCATAACTTCCATGTCGTAAGTTTGATCACGGCAATAGGTAGGTAGGCAGATAGGATGTGGACAGCGTGCGGCCAGACAGCAAGCCCATACGATTTGGTTCAGGTGTGTTTGGCCGAATGGTGAGCTGGAGCGACAGGCGGTGCGGTGCGGATGCGGGGGAGCCGCTTTAACAAATAGCGGGCGGCCCCGGTCCAAGGAACCCTGAAGAACATTCTGGATCAGGCTCCACAGTAGCAAGTCCCTTTTCATTGAGCTGATGCGAGCCCTCCCCTCGGTCTGCTGCGCGACCTCCTGTTGACTTGTGCACAAAATCGACTTATCTGTGGCACCCTTTTCTCATGGGGGAAGCTAGCTTACATCCGCTCGCCGATCAACCGACTGGGCCTAGCTCTCTATATATACTCTGACTTGACGCGATGCGCTCGCCCACAGAAAGCACCGGCTAAGCAGAAAAAGGAGGCACACTCCTGGGTTAGTAGGGTTGCGGCATGCAACGCCAGGAGGAAAGCCGGGAGGGACGAGAAACAAGAGAGCAAGAGGAGAGTCGAGTAAGAAGAGGCGTGGTATCAACTCGGAAAGGAACGCACATATTGTTTTATCGAGTCACCCAGCAGCTGCCCTGGGCGGCAATTGGGCATTAGGCGGCGTGGCCGTTGTCCGCAGTTGAATCCCTTCGTTGTGTGCGAGGCTCGACTGGCTGCTTCACCCTGCCACAATTGCTCAATTGGCTCTGTGACTATTGCTTTGCGCGGCATGAGGTCTGCCGCGAACAGCCGTCGCCTCTGCTGGCAGCAGCCCGCGCTGGGCCTGGGCCGCCCTTTGAGTCAGAGCCGACTTGGAGCTCCCCCGCATTTGCGACGGCTGCCACCCCCAGCGGCGCGGGCACATTTATTTCTGCCCCTCGACTCGAGCTTTCCACTTTCTTCGTCGTCACGTCTCCCCACGCTCGCGCCGCGACACCGGCAACCCCCGATAACCGCCGCTCCAGCAGCCGATCCAGCAACCAGAACCATTCCCGTCCGCGTCCCTGCCCTCGCCAGCTGCCGCCGCTCCCTGCGCCTGCGCGCATCCACCCCCGCCTTGTCCCCGACCGAGGCCCCTGCCGCCGCCGCCACCACCACTATCATGGGCGAGCCCAAGTGGTCTGCGGCTGCGGTCCGCACCACGTTCCTCGACTTCTTCCAGGAGAGGGGCCACACCGTCGGTATGTCCAGACAGGCACCTCCGAGAGGCTGATAGAGGACTCGCCGCTGACAGCCCCTGGCGCGCCCCCTCGGACGATTCCAGTGCCTTCGGGCTCCGTCGTGCCTCACAACGACCCCACCTTGCTCTTCACCAATGCGGGAATGAATCAATTCAAGCCCGTCTTCCTGGGCACAGTCGGGAAGACGGATCCCATGGCCAGTCTCAAGCGTGCCGTCGATACCCAAAAGGCACGCTTCTGCTTATCATCCGCTATCGGAAGCTCAGGCTAACCGAATCCCCTGCAGTGCATCCGTGCTGGCGGCAAACATAATGTACGAGATTGCCCTTCCCCCGCCGACTTTGAGGTGCCTTAACCCTCTGTAACAATGTCAGGGCTTTGTGTATCTGACGGCGGCCTCCTCGCTAGGATCTCGACGATGTCGGCAAGGACAGCTACCACCATACTTTCTTTGAGATGCTGGGAAATTGGTCGTTTGGCGACTACTTCAAGAAGGAGGCCATCGCAATGGCCTGGGAGTTGCTTACCAAGGTCTACGGTCTCGATGCCACCAGGCTATACGTGACGTACTTCGAGGGCAACCCCGCGGCCGGACTCGAGCCTGACCTCGAGGCCAAGAACCTATGGCTCGCCGCCGGCGTGCCAGAGGACCACATTCTACCCGGCAATATGAAGGACAACTTCTGGGAGATGGGTGACCAGGGCCCCTGTGGCCCCTGCAGTGAGATACATTACGACAAGATCGGCGGCGGCCGCAACGCAGCGCATCTGGTCAACCAGGACGACCCGCTCGTCGTTGAGGTCTGGAACATCGTCTTTATACAGTTCGATCGCCAGCAGGACCGATCACTCAAGTCGCTGCCCGCCAAGCACATCGACACGGGCATGGGCTTCGAGCGGCTGGTCGCCGCGCTGCAGGACAAGACGTCCAACTATGGCACCGATGTCTTTGCCCCTCTGTTCGCCAGGATACAGGAGGTGACAGGTGCGCGCTCGTACACGGACAAGTATGGCAAGGAAGACGTTGACGGGATCGACACGGCTTACCGCGTTGTGGCTGACCACATCCGGCTCATGGCCTTCTCCATCGCCGACGGCGCGGTTCCCTACAACGAAGGCCGCGGCTATGTCGTGCGCCGCGTCCTGCGCCGTGGCGTTCGCTACGCGCGCAAGTACTTTAACGCCGAGATCGGCGGCTTCTTCTCGCAAATTCTGCCCACGTTAGTCGAGCAGCTGGGGTCTGGGTTCCCAGAGCTGGTCAGGAAGCAGCAGGATATCCAGGAGATATTGGACGAGGAGGAGGAGGCCTTTGCGCGAACCCTCGACCGCGGCGAGAAGCAGTTCGAGAAGTACGCCGCCATGACCATCAAGGCCGGCGAGAGCAAGCTTTCAGGCTCCGATGTGTGGCGGCTGTACGACACGTTCGGCTTCCCCGAGGACCTTACCAAGCTGATGGCCGAGGAGCGTGGAATCACCATTGACGAAGCCGAGGTCTCGGTGGCCAGGGAGAAGGCGCGTGAGGCCAGCAAGTCGATCAAGGAGGCGGTGCAGACCTTCGCCAAGCTTGACGTACACAGGATATCGGAGCTCGAGAAGGAGCTCAAGGTGCCGCGCCCAGACTCTGAGCTAAAGTTCTCCAAGGACGAAATTACGGCCAAAGTAATGCTACTATTCACGGGCAAAGACTTCATCAAATCGAGCAAGGAACTGCCGCCCAAGACGCCGCTTGGCCTGCTGCTCGACCGCACCAACTTCTACGCCGAATCGGGAGGTCAGGTCGCCGACACGGGCCGCATTATTATCGACGGCGTGGCCGAGTTCAACGTGCTGGACGTGCAGGAGTACGGCGGCTACGTTTTGCACAACGGTTATCTCGAGTTTGGCGAGCTCACGGCTGGCGACGCGGTCCTGTGCGAGTACGACGAGCGGAGGCGGCTGCCGATCCGCAACAACCACACGGGTACCCACATCCTTAATCATTCACTGCGCGAGGTCCTCGGCGACGAGATCAACCAAAAGGGCTCGCTGGTGGACGAGGAGAAGCTGCGCTTCGACTTTTCCCACAAGGTCGCCGTGACCCTACCTGAACTCCGCCGTATCGAGGACCTTGCCAACTCCTACATCCGCCAGAACTGCAAGACGTATGCCAAGGAAGTCTCCCTGGATCTCGCTCGCCAGATTGAGGGCGTCCGCGCCGTGTTCGGCGAGACGTACCCGGACCCCGTGCGCGTCGTATCCGTCGGTATCGAGGTTGACATGCTGCTTGAGAACCCCAAGAACCCCGAGTGGCGCAAGGTCTCGGTCGAGTTCTGTGGTGGCACCCACGTCGAGCAGACGGGCGTCATCAAGGACATGATAATCGTTGAGGAGAGCGGCATCGCCAAGGGAATTCGCCGCATCGTCGCCTACACTGGAGACGCTGCCCACCAGGCCCAGCGCGACGCCGTCAAATTCTCGGAACGCATCACCGAGCTGGAGAAGCTGCCCCTGGGGCCCGAGAAGGAGGCTGCCATCAAGAGCACCCAGCAAGATCTCGACAAGCTCGTCGTCTCGACCCTTACAAAGGATGAGCTCCGCTCCCGTTTCGGCAAGACCCAGAAGGACGTGACGGAAGAGCTCAAGAAGAGGCAAAAGGCCGAGTCAAAGAAGGCTCTCGACACCGTCGCTGCCTACTTCAAGAACCCGGAGAACGCCGGTTCCAACACCTTTGTCGGTCATCTTCCAATATCCGCCAACTCCAAGGCACTCGCAGATGTCGTCAACCATTTCAAATCCAAGGACAAGGAGAAGTCTGTCTACGTTTTCGGCGGCGGCGCCGATGAAGGCGCCGTTGTCCATGGCGTCTATGTTGGAACCGTAAGTCTGCCCCGCCACCCACATTGCTAAACTTTACCCGCATCCTGCCCCGCTGCCTCGTTTCTTCTCTTCTGGGTGAATCTCTGGTTATTTGTTGGTGTTCCTGGCTGATCGAATTCTACTCCACTCTCCTAGGCCCTTTCTTCCAAGGGCGTGACCGCCGAGCAGTGGGCCAGCGCCGTGTGCGGCGTTATTGGTGGTAAATCCGGAGGCAAGGAGCCCACACGGCAGGGACAGGGCACCGCCCCTGAGAAGCTACAGGATGCAGTTAAGGAGGCTGAGAAGTACCTGTCGGGTAAGCTCAAGAACCTTTCCATCTAGCCGGCCGAGAGCATTGAGGCCCCAGCAACTTGGAAGGTTTGTTTGCGCCGCTGCCTGCGGCAAGGAAATCGGATATGGGACGTGGCGTCTGTGGGAAGGGTACAGTTACGTTGTTTTTATAGACAGTCGGTGCTGGGGGAAGGGATGTGTGGCGATATTTGAGAACGCTGAGCTCTTTCTATGATTGTAGATGAATGTAACTTTTTATCACTTGATTCCTTGTCACTTGCTCCTCTCTGACACGCTTTCGCTTTGCCTCGTTGCGCCATCTGCGCAGGCAGTCCCGACATTCTCACATCCCGTCTGTCACCATGGCTATCTAGGGCGTTGTAGGTATTAGGGTACTGGCCCGTCTTTACAGGTTTGCCGGGAAGCCACCTACTCCTGGTCGCGCTCATTGTGACATTCCTTCCAGTACTAATACCGCACAGTGAAGCCATTCGGTCGTGTCTCTCAACCCCGCGCAATGCTTTTAGCCAATGAGGCCATGTAGGGTATAGCGATATTGCCGCGGATGCTACCGAATCGTCGTGTGGTTGTCTCCGAATCCCGCGGTAGATAGTGTCAAAAATCATAGAATATCCCCTGGGAGAGATGTGGTCATCCTCCAAATGGGCAGAGATTCGCCGGCAGTCGCACAGTCCGAGATAATAGCAACGAGATCAGAGGATCATCTAGTTCTGTTTATCCCTAGCCTGGATGGGTATATCCAAATTCTGGCCTTTGATGTCGTATTTACGGGTCAGTGCACGCATGGCCAGCTATAAGCTCTCCGGAGACCGTGAGTAGACCACCCTGGTTACACAATATGAAGACTTCCAGTACCCACCGAGTCAACTCCAACTCATCATAAAACTCCGACGCTGATATCCGTGTAAAATAAACAGAGGGGCGAAAGAAGTAGGTCCCCCAAACAGAAAGAATACCAAAGATGAAGGAGACATAGTAAAACTTATAAGGGGGCACATGGGCTTGTTCGTTGTTCCGGAAGCATACCCAGGGAAAAAAGCAAAATTACCCATGGAGGGCAGAGTGGAGCTTCAGACGAGCTCAGGAATAAGGGGCTAGGTAAGGGCATCGGAAGAGAGCCAGGTTTTAGAATAAATAAGGAAATCCCAAAAAGAAAAGCAGTACTGATGAAAAGCCCGACAATAGGAGGGAAAGGAAGAAAAACACAGGTAAAACGAGGGGGGAGTGAGGTCAATATGACAAATCAATATTGCCCATTGTTGGAAGCATTTTGTTGTCCGTGTCCGAAGTTGTTGTCCGACTGGTGGCGGCGTCGGACTGGGAAGTGCTGATGTGGTGGAGTTGGTTGTGCTGGTCTTCTGGCGGAAGGCCGCTGTCCGAGTAACCAAGGTCCCGCATCTGTTGGAAACTCCAGCTGGGCTCGAAGTTGCGACTCTTCCAGGCGGCCTGGACACGCTCGTACATCTCATCGATCTGCTCCAGGCTCATCTTGCTTGTCTCGTACACCATGAAGTACACAAAGAAGATGGCGACAATGCAGAAGGCGCCCCAGACGAAGAACACGCGCGGGCCAAGGTCGGCGTAGCCTTCCCCCGACCCAACCATGTATGGTGTGCCGTACGCGATACCGAAGTTGAGCAGCCAGTTGGACGCCGTCGACACCGACATGGACTTGGCACGGACCTTGAGCGGGAATATTTCGGACGTGACAACCCAGACGACGGGGCCCCACGAGGCGGCAAAGAAGAATATGTATATGGCGACGACGATGACAAGAAGCTGATTCTGCTCGACGACCATGGTTCCCTTGGAGGCGGCGGTGAAGGAAGCAATGAGGAGTTGGCAGATGGACATGCCGACGGCGCCCATGATAAGAAGCTTGCGACGGCCCCACGACTCGACCACCAACAGGCCGGGTATGGTGGAGACAACATTGACGATATTCATGATGCATGAGATGAGGTACGGGTCCGAAACGTTGGCGCCCTTGAAGAAGGTGGTGCCGTAGTACATGATGAAGTTGACACCAGTGAGCTGTTGGAGCATCTGTAGGCCGCAACCGGTCAGGATCCGCCGGCCCAGATGTGGCGAGCCGAAAAAGACATCCTTGTACGTGTCGGCGCCGAGGGCCAGCTCGTACTCATGGTTCGCCTGGATCTCAGCCAGCTCCTCGATCAGAGCGGGGTGAGTGATGTCGAGGCGGCGGAGGCGGCTGAGCGACAGCGCAGCCGCCTCATGTTTGCCGCGCTTGATGAGATAGCGCGGCGTCTCGGGGAGGATGAGCAGGCCCAGCGAGAGCACGCAGGCCCACGTAAGCTGCACACCCAGGGGTATACGGTATGCGGCAGCGCTTGGCATCTGATACGTGAGAATATTGACAAGCGATGCAGCCAGCAGCCCGCACGTGATGAATAGCTGGTATGCGCACACCATGGTTCCGCGGATCCATTTTGGCGCCATTTCCGACTGATACAGCGGGACGAGTACGGATACGCATCCCACACCGATTCCAGCAAACAGCCTGCGGGTTGCGCCATTACGATGGCCAGGTTAGCGGGGCTGTTGGGACGGCCTTCCTACCCTATGGGGGTGCAGGCCGCACAGGCGTCGTGGGCACGGGCTCGACATACCTTCCGACCATAAGCATTGGGATGTCGGCTGAGCAGACCTGGAAGATGACACCGAAGCAAAAGACACCGATAGCCAGATTGAGGGCCTTCTTGCGGCCGAGGAGGTCTCCCAGGGGGGCCGAGATCAGGGCACCGACGAAGGTGCCGGCGCTGAGAATGGCAACGACCAGTGACGATTCACTTGGGGACAGGCTCGGCTTTCCGTCGATCGGGTCGGTATAGCCGGTCGAGAACTGGTGTCGGAAAGAGGGCATGGCAAGAATACCATTAATTGTTCTGGGGAAAACGGCGACGCGATGGGCCCCATCCGGTGTTGCAGCGCCTCGTGTTAGCCAGCATCCAGCAGAACATTCAGACCTGCCCGCGACGGGACAGAAAAGAGAACGGAAAGAAAAGCAACGCACCCAGTGTCGTAGCCAAAGAGCAGGCCGCCGGTGGCAACGAAGAAGCCAACCATTATGGCGGGAGCCGAGCTCCCGGCGACGTTGGACGGCTTGCGCCAGCCCATGGCGATCGCCATAGTGAGGAGGGGGAGCGACCGTCACGGCAGAACCGGGGCCGGACCGGGTCTCCTCGGGTTAGGGTGGCGAGAGGGCGCGGGCTGGGGCTCGAGAGGATCGAGTGGCGGAGGTCGTCGTCTTTGTCGTCGTCGCCGCCGTCGCATTTGAGGGGACGGGCCCGAGGGGTTGTTCGGCAGACCAGGCGAGGCGGTTGGTTGCCGTCGCCCTCGCAGTGGTGTCCTGGCCGTCACACGCTCTCTCGCTCTGCTTTTCCTGGGGGTGGGTAAAGAAGTGGAGAACAGCGAGAGAAGGGGAACGAAAATGGGTGCGGGCGACTGGGAAGATCAGCAGCCCCTTCTCAAGACAAGCCGCGCAGCCCCATTGGCCCCCGATCCACACTGACAGCCAAGCGCCATTCCATTCTTGGGAGGCAAGCCACACAGCCGTACTTGGACTCGCCGTCTGGACATTGGCGCCCTAAGACAGCCAGCCCTCGCGCTAGTGATTCCTCCCAGAAGATGTTTTATCCGCCTGCCGCGGACGAGGGGAAGCGAGGGCCGGCGAACGGGCGGAACGAGGGCTTTGGGCCATGATCGAGAGAACAAGGAACAATTACATTTACCTCCCAGCGCCATTTGTGTTCACATGGAAAGTCTCCCAAGCGAGATGCCAAGCACCTGATTGAATGCCTATTTGGTCTGATTTGGTGCGGATATGCCATATCTGTGCATGCCAGCCCAAGCCAAAGAAGCGACGGCACTCCCTCGAGTCGCGGCGGGTTGGGCTGATGGACAGACAAGCCCGTCAGCAATATCTCGACCAGCCCCAGACCCGGCCAGGCTCGGTCCCAAGACCTAAGTCAAGCGTCTTTGATTGGGTCGATTCGCGACAGTGCGGCTGTGGAGCATTTATCTTCTCCCCACGAGAGCAAGAAGTTATCAATTGCCGACAGCATGCCACTCATTCAAGCTTTGGTTTCCTCTGTAACTGCTGGCGTAAGGACCACTTTTTCTAGGTGAAGCCACGATTTTCACAAGAAAGACGAGAGACTAAGGAGATGGAACAAGAAAACCTCTCACAGAATGTTTTCGGGCATGCCTAGCGCGAAATTAGCCCATTGTACGGTAGGGATGGATGGTGGCCAGCTGAAAAATAAAAGAAAGTAGAAAGACAGAGGGTAGCACCAAGCCGCCACCACGAGACCGTATTGGACAAGGGGAGGAGAGCGGGGAAGACGGGGATGCAATGTCCAGGGGGGTTGGGAAGGGGAACATTGGCAGATAAAATTGAAGAAGATGCAGCAGGCAGGTTTGCCTAAAGATGATGAATACCATCATCCCACCGACACCAAACTAGAGAGAATTTCCACACACGCAGAAAATGCAGAAAAAGATACAGCAACCATACCACAATGATGCGGGACAAAGGCCACACACAGAATGTGCAATCTGACAGGGAGAAAAGAGATCCGCTCTGCGTGTGGTTCTGTGCGTATTCCTATCCGAAGGATAAGCAATTATGTCGAGGGACTGACCGTTAGCGACGTATGGCTGCCTAGTTGTCCTTGGCAAATATATTCTCTAGCTTGGTTGCTCGTGATGCCTGTGGGAATACCTAGGTAGTGCTGAGGCTTCAGCTCGAAACCTAACTCGTGAAATGTCGCCGGAAGAGGGCAGCAAGCGCCAAGATTGGCTACGGGCAACGCGTGCCAAGGTGAGCTCAGCTCAAACACAAAAGCTGTGGCCGAGCGAGCTGCGAAATGGAACACATGATGGAAGTTACCAACACAAAGAGAAATACACATGGCAAAGACTACTTGATGACTAGGATGCGCGCAAGGGGCCAAAAATATGACATATATTGATACAGTCGGCAAACAACCCTAGACAGATTCCGAAGCAGGACACTCAGGCTCGCCAACAAAATTATAGCTCCAGGCTTGGCTTGACACCCTTGACCCTACCAATAACCTGGGCAGGGGCATACTTGGGAATAACCTCATCATCGTGCAGCATCTCGAATTCCTCAGTTGCGTCTCGCCCCATAAAGTTCATAATGGCCTGAGGGCCACCCGGGTGCTCCTCGAGCCAGTTGCTCAGGTCCATGACCACACCCTTGACGACGACCCACAGGTCTTCCTTCGTGTTGTGCTTGGCCACCTCTTCCATCGTGAACTCCTTCTCGGGGATCGTGAAGGACTTGGGATCGTTAGGCTTGGCCGGCTCGGCCTTGGGCGCCGCGCCGCCAGCCTGGGAAGCCTGGGGTTGCGAGGCCGATGCTGCGGCCCCACCAGTCCACTCCACCGACAGCCTGCCGGGTTGAGACGGGTCGATATGCAGTGAAATCTGGCCCAGACGCTGCGCGGCGCCCGTGGTACCCTTGAGGGCCTGGCGGAAGAGGTAGTTACTGGCTGTGTCTCCAGCAACGCGTCCGTACACGACACATCCCAGGAGCGACGAACCGCCCAGGCGGTTGGCACCGTGGACGCCCCCCGCGAGCTCACCACAAGCGTACAGACCCTCGATGGGCTTCTTCTCGCCGTTGAGCACCTCAGCCTTGTCGTTGATCTCGACGCCGCCCATGGTGAAGTGGAGCACCGGCTCCATCAGCGAGACGTGGAAGTCGTCGTTGACGTCAAGGGGCATGTTGTGGAAGAACTTCTTGCCCCAAGGATCCTTTTGCTTGCCCTCGGCGATGGCGTTGTACGTTTGGAACGTCTTCTGGAGGTGCTCAGGGGTGCAGCCAATTTCATTGGCAAGCTCCTTGCCCGTCATCTTCTTCATCAGGCCGCGGCCCGAGTAGTGCCTGGTGTGGAAGTCAAGCGTGTTCGAGGCCTTGGAGTTGAGCACGAGGCGGATCGGGAATTTGTTCTTCTCCTTCTCCTTCCACATCATGCCGGACACGTAGTCGCGATGGCCGAGCTCGTCGCAGAACCGGTCACCATCCGAGTTGAGCAGGAGGCCACCTTCGCCACGCAGGGCCTCGGCAGCAAGGAACTTCCACTTGGACCCAGGGTCCTTGGGGTCCACCAGACCCGTGGGATGGACTTGGACCTTGTCCATATCGATGCCGTTGCCGCCGATGGCCATAACCATCTTCTGGCCGTCGCCAGTGGCGTGCGAGCCGTTGGTCGTGGCAAGCCCGAAGGTGTCAGGCCTGTGCTGCTTCAGCAGCGACGTGTCACTGAAGTCGGCAGCATATCCGCCAGTAGCCAGTACGACGGGGCCCTCGAGGACCTGAGATTCGCCATTGTACTCGTACGTGACTCCTGTGACCTTGTTGTCCTCCTTGTTCAGGCTGGTAACCCTCGCCTTCTTGATGATCTGTACCCTCTCCGGCTCCGTCTCGGCCAGGTCCTCAAGCCTTTGCATAAGTGCATACGTGATGGCCATGCCGGGAAACTTGGCGTCGTGACCACGGTGGGTTCGGGGGTGAGAGTGACCACTGCGGAAACACCCGTTAGTTAATTGCACTCAGCCGACTCGGGCAAAGCAGTAAATGGAAACGGAGAGTGAGGAGGGAAGACATACCCAAGGCGCGAAACCAGCGTCAGGTCCAGGTTGAAGACATCTTGGAGCCACTCGACGGCGGCAGCCGACTTGTAGGTCAGGACCTTGATCAGGTCGGGCCGTGCCTTGTCGCGGGCAGACTTGAGGGTGTCCTCGTAAAACTGCTTGACGCTGTCTTGGATGCCGTGCTCAACCTGCGTCCTCGTCAGGGCGCCGTTAATCCCCGACGTTGCTTTCGTCGAGTTGCCGCCGAAGAATCCTACGCGAGGTGACCAAGTTAGACGAGAAGGTAAAGCAATCGACGCGCCGGCGATTCGAACGTACCTTGCTTGTCGAGCACGACAACATTGCCTCCAGCCAGATAGATGGTATGCGCAGCACTCAGGCCCGACACTATAGTGATGGGTCAGTTCGGATCCCGCGAGTACCCCCAGAACAAAATTGCGGGCGGTGGTCCGGACTTACAGCCGCCGCCAACCACGATCACACTGGGCGTCATTGTATTGGAGCGAATGCTGCGCGTGGCCGTAGGGAGGTTGGTTTAAGGAACAGTGACGTTTGACGATGCTTCGAGTGGTGCTTCCGTACCCGGACAGGAAGGACTACTGCAGCAAGCAAAGTGATGGATGGAACTGGACAAAGAAGATGGAAGGACGAATGGGGGAGACGAGGAATGGTTGCTTTTTGGGGGAGGTTTCGGATCTTTTTGACATATGATCGATGCCGAGCAGCCGCCGCAGCAGCACCTCACCTAAGCCAGTTTCCTGTGCTTCTGATTCGTGCCGGTGTCTGGTGAGCCGAGGTCCCGTCAACGTGCCGACCCAGCCCACGGCCTCCACTTGGGGACTGTGGGGTACGCATGCGACGGTGCGACGTTCCGCTTACCCCGTATGTGGAATCCAGTCATCCGCAACCACTGGGAGACACGTGCAAGCACGCTAGCTATTCC